TTTCATACCTCGGTGCAAAAAGGAAAAGGAAAAAGGTTTCATTTAAATTATATGACAGGATTCACCTGCTCATTTTGAATCATAGAATCAGCCTGCCATCTCGGTTCATATGCAGCATTCTGACACTCACGAAAAAAAAAAGAAGGAATTAAATAAAAATTTCAGTACACAACATTAGTGCAAACCAACAAGAACTACATATTGCATACCAGATGCTTTGCTTTCTTCTTCTTCTTCTTCCTCCTATGCTTCATCAATACTTCTGCAGATCCATATGCTTTCTCAAACTTCACAGCTGATTCAACTTCCACATTATATGGAGCATGTGCACCCCCTTGCAGGGTACTCTGATCATCCTGATAAGAATTGGTATCACCACTTGAAGCATCTGTTTTATTTGCCTGAAATCCTGATGTTCCTACACTAAAAGGGCTTACAACTCTCCTAGAAGCAGTTCGGACACGTTTTGTTGGGATTGATGCATTCAGATTGCCACCTGGCCGTTTGGCCAGTAAAGCAGATTGATGCACTACTTTGTTTTCAGCGCCCTGCATTTGTGATATATCAGAGACTTCATATGGTCTGGCACCATATGCGTGCATCAAGTGTTTCTGCTTCTTTTGGCCAAATCCACAATTCTTGCTATCTTCAATTGAGATGTCATATGTGTTTGTTTCCCTCTCATCCACCACTCCATTATTTTGAGAATCAAAGCCTTCAGTCAAAGGGAACACTGAGGTAACAAATAATTAAATAATAAGACATATTATTGAAGCAACTGCATCAAATTTACCTGCAGCTGCATCGCATGTAGATGTTTCTACTTCCTCTATCACAGCAGGCGCTATTCTCTGAACAAGTGCATAAAGAATTTCAGTCTGGATAAAATATTCATGTGAATGAACAGTAGTATAAACCCCTACTAAGAGCTCCCTCCAGAAGAATTAGAGAACAATGTATTTTCTTTTCCAGAACATGGTCAGAAAGTTTGGTTTGACTTATTGGCTTCATCACAGAACAAATTTTTTTGTTAACTTCAGGGAAAAGTTGGCCAGGGTTTTACCACGTTTATAGCCATATAGTCAATCTTACGAAAGCCATAAAGCCCACAATAGCTGAAATGCTGCATAAGCATTTACCTGGAACTGGGCCACATGTGCTTCAACTGAACTTCTATAGATCTCCATGGTTCCTGGAAGGACTCGGTAGAAGAGATTATCCTGAATCATGACAAGTAATAGATAAGTAAACAAAGAATGTGTATAGCTTCACAGAAAGAACTTGCAGAGCTTCACTCGAATAGCGATGGCGTCATATCAATCATATTGCATGCACACATGAAGTAAGATCAAGCACGTAATCAAGGACAAAAAAAAAAGGTTAGAATTAGGGTTATGAAATGGTAGGAGAAGTCAGGGATAACGGGCACAATAGAAAACGGAAAAGAGAAAAAAATGGGATTATGTGAAACCAAGTAAATCAACAGTGAATGAGAATCATACTTCCATCAAATTTTCATTCCATGAGGGGTCAAGGGTTCCCATATCAGATGCTCCATCTGGTGTCAGTGGCAACTCAACTGGGTTGAAGACAACATTGAAATTTTTGTACTTTTGAAATCTCGTTGCGTAGGCCTGAACAGAATGTTCTTCCTCTCCTTGTCCCTGCTGATCCAGTACTTTGCTTTTCTCCTGCCATTCCATAAATACTAACAAACGTGACACCAATTCCCACAAATCTTCATAAAGATCACTATCTACCTCAACAACTTGTCTATAGTCAACCCAGCCGAAAGACAGGCAATACAATATAATTCACAAGGAGAAAAGTAGGCAAACACAGTTAACCTATCAATTAACCTCTCCCTCAATGCAGGAGCTATGACTACCTAGTATCTGTCATTTAAAGTTTGAAAGTAGACCTTCACCTTATTCAATGAAAATGTTAGAAGTTTGAAATTAGACCTAGTCCAAAACATAAATATTTTATGCAATACATGTCATTCACATTACAGTTTTTCCATTGCTCTTCCAATGGGCTAAATCTTCCAGGTATATCAGTTACAGAACATCACCTACCAAATTGAATTTGTGTATGCATATACACTCTATCACACATCCAATATTCCAAACAGCAAATCAATTCCAAGAAGAAAACTATTTAACATACACCAAGCAGCAGTGATGGAATTGAACGGAAAAGTTATGTGAAACATCTGCATCCATCGGGAAGGCTTACCTCAACTGATTGCCAGAACTCCATGACAGATTTTGCCAAGGAGTGAGCAACTTTCTTTGCCTCCAAGTGAAAGCTATTATCCCGTTTTCTCACACAACAAGCAAAAGCAGCCCTAGAACTCGTTTGAGCTGCAGCAGCCATTTTCCAAATACGCTCCTGCAAAACAAGAAAGCTTCAAAAGAGAGACTACAGCATCCGAGAAAGGAATTAATGTATATTCCAGATCAAGGGTACATGGAAAATACTCCAAAACAAATTATGAAATATTTAAACTAATCTAGAAACAAAAAGTTCAGAACATTGGGAAGTCAAACCTGTGTGAAATCATTTGCTAACCATGCCATTTCTTCAAGCACATAATCCCAATGAGATTTAAGACGGATTTTCTTTGGGGAGTTTGCAACAGACAACTCAGCTATCCTCTTTCGCTTTGCCTAATCACGAAATTAAATCAGATATGTGGATCCAAATAGCTAAATGAAAACGTTCTTCATGCACAACCATATTAAAGATTTCAAATGCAAATTTAGCAATATAACCTCTATGATTTTTGCTTCTTTCAAAATTGAGTCTTCATCAATTGTACTTGTCGGTTTCGGATCAGACCCGGTTGACGTTTGAGCCTCAATGGGAGCAGCAGAAACCACCAAAAAATCTGGATTTGAGATTTCAGTAGAATCCTGATGCTTAAGAGAGAAAGATCTGTCATCATTGCGGCCAGCTTGGTCAACTGAAGGGTCAGCAGATTTTCTCCCTGAGTCTGATTCAGTAAGTTTACGAGTTCCCATTACGTCATTAACAGTTGGGTCTTTCCCCTCGTCTTTCAAAGCAGGTCCATTTTCATTCAACTCTTCCTCCGGTTGGAGTTTAACTCCATCCTCTTGCTTGGTTTGACATGCAACAGAGCTCTCCACAGTGACAGGAGTGAAACTGCCAGTTCCACTCACTTTCTTTTCTTTCACTGACTCATCACCTCCAAGAACTAGAACCTTGTCTGATAATGGGATTTGATCTTTAATCTGTTCATTTGAGTCAGTACTCATGATTTTAGTAGTATTAGCATCATTAGCTCCATCAATACTTCTGCTGGTTCTAGTGCAAGAGGACTCAGAATCCAATCCCTTCATGTCGCATGAGGCACTGATGTGAGCATCATTTCCCGTTCCTTCACCCTTATTGCTGCTGAAACCATTCATCTTGTGAGTGCCAAATTTATTGTCAATTTTTTTTGCAGTCACACCTGGCTGAAACTCAATATCCGCAGAAGTCACCCTTTCCATTGCCGGAATGGTCTCGGGTCCTTCTGAATCCATATGAATAGAAGTTCTTGGAACATCCGAGGGAGATTGCCGGTTATCTTCATCATGGAGTTGTATTTTACAAGCAATAGCTTCTGATGCTGAATTCAATGGACGAACTTCTGTTAGGTCCTTAGTTGGTTCTCCAGCCTTTAAGCCATCTAACTCCATATACTGCTGACTCTTTGCCAATCCGGTCTTGTGACTGGTATCATCTACTTGACTTGTAGACTTACAACGAGAATTTGATAATATAATTGGGTTTTCTACATCAGATAAGAACCCTTTAGCATCCTTGGGTTCATGAAAAGAAGGTAAAGAAGAGCCACGACTGCCATGTGCTTGATTTACATCAGCTGAACTTGGCCTAGTTCCATCACGATTTATGCGGGACCTGTACCGCCTCTTATACGCTTTTCTGTGGAGGTCAAACATAGTTGAATCCCCATGTTCCCCAATTCTGCGGTAACCACTAGCATCAGATAATTTTTCTGATGAAACTATGTTACTCCTACTAGGATGTGATGATCCCCTATTGCCCTCAGATAACTCACGTTCAGCATCAAATAACATAAGATTATCTGCACTATTGGGTTCACAAGGATTCGTCCCAAGTCTACCACTACTTTCCACAGAGTCTCCATGAGGTGATGCAGTAAATGCAAAACTACCTTTTGCTTCACTGTAGTGCCAAAAAAATATTAAAAAAACATTGTCTCATAAAACTGAAGGCA